AGGAGAGGGAGAAGCAGGCTCCCTGCTGAGCAGGGAGATTGATGCAGGGCTCTATCCCAGGACACTGGGATCATGACCAGAGCTGATGGCAGATGCTTAAATGACTGAGCCACCCAGGGGTGGGTATCTATCTATCTATCTATCTATCTATCTATCTATCTATCTATCTATCTATCTAAAAGATTTTATTCATTTATTCATGAGAGAGACACACACACACACACAGAGAGAGAGAGAGAGAGAGAGAGAGAGAGAGACACACACACAGGGACACAAGCAGAGGGAGAAGCAGGCTCCATGCAAGGAGCCCGACGTGGAACTGGATCCCCGGACTCCAGGATCACGCCCTGGGCCAAAGGCAGGCGCCAAACCGCTGAGCCACCCAGGTATCCCCTATCCCTATTTATTTTTTATTTATTTTTATTTTATTTTATTTTTTTAATTTATGATAGTCACAGAGAGAGAGAGAGAGGCAGAGACACAGGCAGAGGGAGAAGCAGGCTCCATGCACCGAGAGCCCGACGTGGGATTCGATCCCGGGTCTCCAGGATCACGCCCTGGGCCAAAGGCAGGCGCCAAACCGCTGTGCCACCCAGGGATCCCTCCTATTTATTTTTTAAAAGATTTCATTTATTTATCTGACAGAGGACATGGCCGGGGGGAGGGCGGAGAGGAGAAGGTCAGAGGGAGAGCCCAATAAGGCTCCATCCCAGGACCCTGAGATTATGACCTGAGCTGAAATCAAGAGTTGGCCGCTTAACCAATTAAGCCACCCAGGTGCCCCTGAACTTTACTACATTTAAACTCCTTTGGTATAAGTAATATTTATCCTAAGAACATAAGGTTGGTTTAACATTTGAAAATCAATCAATACAATTAACCATACTGTAGACTAAAAAGGAAAAATGGTATGATTATCTCAACATTGTAGTTGCAAAAAGAGCGTATGATAAAAATCCAACATTTATTCCTAACTTAAAACAAAACAAAGCAAAGCAAAAACAAAAACCCTCTCAGAAAACTAGTAATTTATAAGAGAATTTTCTCAATTTGATAAAAAGCATCCAGGAAAAACCTATACCAAACACTGCAATTAATGGTTTAAGAATGAATACCTTCCTTATAAGATAAGAAACAAGGCAAAGATGCTTGCTCTTACCACTTCCGTCCACATTGTACTGGAGCTACAGGTACAGCTTTAGTACAATGGGGCAAAGAAAAGAAATAAGTGGAATTTAAATTGGAAAGAAGTATAATTTTTAAAAAAATATTTTATTATTTATTCATGAGAGACAGAGAGAGAGGCAGAGACACAGGCAGAGGAAGAAGTAGTCTCCATGCAGGAAGCCCGATGTGGGACTCAATCCAAGGACCCCAGGATCACGCCCTGAACCAAAGGCAGGCGCTTAACCGCTGAGCCAACCAGGGGTCCCTATAATTGTTTTTATTAGCAGATAATCATCTATGCAGAAAATCCTAAGGAATCTACAAAATAGGAATCTACTGGAACCAATTAGTGAGTTAATTTAGTAAGACTGCAAGATTTAAGATCAATATAGAAAATATACTTCATTTCTACATATTAGAAAAGAACAACTGGAAATCGAAATGCAAAAATTACATCATCTACAACAGCATCAAAAAATAACTGGGGCCCAATCTAACTAAAAGTGTGTAAGATCTGTACAATGAAAGCTATAAAACATCGCTGAGAGAATTTAAGGAAGACCTAACTAAATGGAAAAATAAAATATATTAATGTATCAGAAGACTCAATATTGTTAAGATGTCAACCCTCCCCAAATCGAACTACTGATTCTACACAATCCAGATCAAAATCCCAGACACTGGGCACCTGGGTGGCTCAGTGGTTGAACATCTGCCTTTGGCCCAGGTTGTGATCCCAGAGTCCTGGGATCCAGTCACACATCAGCCTCCCTGCAGGAGCCTGCTTCTCCCTCTGCCTATGTCTCTGCCTCTCTCTGTGTCTCATGAATAAATAAATGAAATCTTAAAAAAAAAAAAAATCCCAGACATCATTTTTGTAGAAAGTGACAAGTTGATTCTAAAATTCACATTTTAATGTAAATGTGAAAATGTAAAGAGCCTAGAGAGGCCAAAACAACTTTTCTAAAGAAGAATAAAGCTAGAGGACTTATATAAGAAAAGATGTTCAACATCGATAGTCACTAGGAAAATGCAAATTAAAACCACAATGATACACCATTACTGACCTAGAATGGCTAAAATGAAAAACAGTGAGTATCCTTCCTGGAAAAGATGTGGAGCAACTGAAACTCTCATGCATGGCGGTAGGAATATACAATGGTACAATCATTTCATTCTGGGAAAAAAATTTGGCAGTTTTTTCAAAAGTTAATTATACACTTATCACTTGACCCAGCCACTCTACTTTTAGGTATTACCCAAAGAAACGAAAGCACATGTCCATACAAAGACTTACATATAAATGGTTCATGTCAGCTTTATTTATAACAGTCTAAAGCTAACAATGATCCAAATGTCCACCAACAGCTGAATGGATAAACAATGTGGTATATCCATACAATAGAATAATACTCAGCAATAAAAATGAATGACCTCTTGATACACACAACATGAATGAATCTCAAAATAACTTTGTTGAATTTTTTTTTTTTAAAGATTTTATTTATTTGTTTGACAGAGGGAAAGAGAGTAAACGCGCGAGAGCACAAGCAGGGGGAATGGGAGAGGAAGTAGAGTCCCTACTGAGCAGGGAGCCAGATGTCGGGCTTGATCCCAGGACACTGGGATCATGATCTGAGCTGAAGGCAGACATTTAAACCAATGGAGCCACCTAAGCGCTCTAATTTTGTTGAATTTAAAAGCCAAATAATAAAGAGTACGTATAGTATGATTCCATTTTTATAAAATTCTAGAAAATGCAAACTAATCTATAGAAATAGAAAGCCCATCAGTGGTTGCCTGGATACAGGCAAAATGGAGGGAATGCAAAGGGCTATATGGAAACTTTTGGTGGTGATGGATATGTTCACTACCTTGATCATAGTGATGATTTTACACATATGCCAAAACTTATCAAATTGTATACTTTGAACACTGCAGCTTACCAAAATCAATTTATACCTCAATAACGCTGCTAAAAAAAAACCATTAGTCTATTTTAAACTTTGAACCAATCTTTTACATACATGATTTTGCAAATCTTCCAAATGTTGACACACTTCATTATACATAAAAAATATCAAAATACCACATTCATATATTATCATCAATCTCTTCAGACAAGTCTTTAGTTATTGGGAAGTAAGTTCATGAGGATAGATAAAAGTTTTCCAAAATTCTAATAACTGCTGGAAAGCTGGACTTTTCTCATTGCCAACAAATACTGTCAGCTGTTTTCCTTAAAAACTGACAGGTTCACTTCATTTTTAAAGAAAATGTCTACCAGGGATCCCTGGGTGGCGCAGCGGTTTGGCGCCTGCCTTTGGCCCAGGGCGCGATCCTGGAGACCCGGGATCGAATCCCACGTCAGGCTCCCGGTGCATGGAGCCTGCTTCTCCCTCTGCCTGTGTCTCTGCCTCTCTCTCTCTCTGTATGACTATCGTAAATAAATTAAAAAAAAAAAAAAAAAAAGAAAATGTCTACCAAATAGTCAAATCTGAATAATCATAGTTTGTCAGTTTTTTCAAGTTCTCTCAAAAAAAAAAAAAAAGCAGCTAATTCAGCTGCAACTTAATCACTAAAATGCTTTTCTAAAGAGAACCATCATACTTTAGTATGCAAAGTGCTTTTTGTATAACTCCTATTTTATCATTCAGTATACAAAAAAGTGAACTCAAGGGAAGTAATTTATTACAATTAATAATTTTTACTGCTTTATCAGACATTCTTTTTTATTTTATTTATTTTCAAAAAAGATCTATTTATTTATTTATTTATTTATTTATTTATGAGAGAGAGAGAGAGAGAGAGAGAGAAAGAGAGAGAATGAGAGAGAGAGGCAGAGACACAGGAGGAGGGAGAAGCAGGCTCCATGCTGGAGTCTGACGTGGGACTCGATCCCAGGACTCTAGGATCGTGCCCTGGGCCAAAGGCAGGTGGTAAACCGCTGAGCCACCCAGGGATCCCCATGACATTCTTTTTTAAAAATATATTTTATTTATTTGTTCAGGAGAGACACACAGAGACACACAGAGAGAGGCAGAGACACAGGCAGAGGGAGAAGCAGGCTCCATGCAGGGGGCCCAAAGTGGGGCTTGATCCTGGGACTCCGGGATCATGCCCTGAGCCAAAGGCAGATGCTCAACCGCTGAGCCACCCAGGCATCCCTAACAATGATACTCTTAATTGAGCAAATTTTTCCTAACTGCAAACACACTGCGGGAAAGAATATAGTGACTATTAACACAATTTGGTGCCACTGCCCTTGATTTTGTGCTAAGGTACCAGTAATTTTATCCACCATGGCCTCTGCATTATCAGTGTAAATGTCAACATGGTGAAAAATACAAAAAGCATCATGGGTTATTATGAAAATAGTTTTGACCTCTCAGACTTGCTAAAAATAAAAAGAACCTGAGGAAAAAAAAAAAAAAAAGAACCTGAGGGTTAAGACTTCATAGACCACAGTTTGAAAACCACTGTTCTACATCAAGATTTTTATTTTTTTTTATTTTTATTTTATTTTTTTTTATTTTTATTTTTTATTTTTTTAAAAATTTTTTTAAAAAATTTATTTATTTATGATAGTCACAGAGGGAGAGAGAGAGAGAGGCAGAGACACAGGCAGAGGGAGAAGCAGGCTCCATGCACCGGGAACCCGATATAGGATTCGATCCCGGGTCTCCAGGATCGCGCCCTGAGCCAAAGGCAGGCGCCAAACCGCTGCGCCACCCAGGGATCCCTACATCAAGATTTTTATAAACTATAACATAATAATTTTATAATTATTCCATTAAAAAAATGTAAGCTTTAACCACAGAGAAAAACCTTACTTTTGTGGGATCTTGTCATCCTATCAGATTTAGCAGATGCATCCTTAACTCGGTTATGATATTCTAAAAGGAATGTTCGTTCATGCTCAAAGAAATCATCTACATCCTATAGGATCAAAAGAAAATACAGTTTTTCACTTATTTGCTTTAGTATAATACATAAATCAATTTACCATTATAATAAAAAATAAAAGATCAGTAAAACAGCACAGCTATCCTCTAATAATCAGATGTTCTAATGATTTTACCAATAAGTTCAGACTTTATACAGACATGCATTTTATTTATCCAGGGAAAATCTGCAATGGTTCTGCAGTTGAAAGCTTAGAGCTCCCCATATAGTTTGTGTTCACATGTTGTAGTCTGAAACGTGTTCTATTTGTGCTCTGTGTCTATAGTCCTGCCTCTTCAACAAATACATTAGTGCCAGAGGAATAATTAATCAATTGCTTTTGAGAAGAAAAAAATTCGATAGACAAGTCCAAAGCCATTTCTCTTGGTCTACTGTGTATTCTGTGAGCCATTCCTGAAGGTTGCCAGGCCTTTGTCATTACAGCCCTCTCTGACTGCTTTGGGGAAACATGGCGAAACTAGCTTTCTGGGAGAAATTATTATATTAACCACTGTCTTTAACCTTTTTTGAAACAAAGGTATACATTAAAAATAAAAATTATGAAAAATACTTTCCTCCTCTCTAAAAGGGCAATCATTTTTTGAAAAAGCACCAGCTGAAACAATGTAATTCAAGATCCACATCAACAGAACACAAGAAAGAAAAGTTAGTACTGGCAAAGTGTCCTTTAAAATCTTTAATTAATGTATACTTATTTTCTTAACTGTTAAAATGGGGATAAAACTCTCCAATTGGTAGAACTGAAGAGTAAATAAAATGTGGATTAACGAACACCACATTGTAAATGTTCAAAAATGTTACTACTTTACCAAAATCATAATCCATACAGTGGTTTACAGTTAATGCTAAGAAAAATGTTCAATATTAGTGCATAAGAAGCACCAAAACGGAAGTGGAGTCCTTATTAGAAAGTAGCCATGAAAAAAAAAAAAGCAAGTAGCCATGGCACATGCATTGTCAACACACCAACTGACCTGTCTCTGAAAAAACAAAGTATAAATCAAATAAATACTACTTCCCACCTAAGTTTTACTGTTGATGTATCTATAAAAACAGGCAATGATGACAAAACAGCATTATTTATCTTTCTTAGTATGTTTGATAATGTAATATAAACATTTTTCTTTCAATGTAAGAGTCTTCCGATAAATCAGTTCTTGTACCATTTTTTAGAACATCATTAAGAACAACTTAGTGTTATTTAATTATTTTTTAATTTTAAATATGCCTTTTTATTTGTTTGTAAGCTCTATGTCCAATATGGAGCTTGAATTCATCACCCTGATATCAAGTCGCATATTCTACCGACTGAGCCAGCCAGGTTCCCCACAACAAGACTAAAACCTCAAAGGAGCCCTTCTAACTCCAGATCTGAAACCAAGTCTGCACCTAACATTTGTAAGGCCAAGGGCAAGTGTACAACTGGAGGTAGCCCCTCTTTGTGCTCTATCCTGCAAGCTCTATAAGGAACCCAGAGAAACCTCATGTGTATGTAAACAGATATTCTATCTTGCACACTGATCTTCTCCCCTGTGCCCTCCCTCTCCTTAGCTATCCATGGTCACCCTGACCACCTATGAGTGCACACACTAGAGGATGAACTCAGGGAACAGATCCACAGAAGAGAAAGACTCAGAAGTAGGCTTCAGATTTGGGCAAGAAAATATGGGGTTCCAGATTCCTAAAGCATGTCTAGTTTGGAGGGAAGGGGTATGTGCTTCAGGTGGGCAAATCCCCTTGGACCTACAGACCTCTCACCTCTGGGAGAAGGAGGTTCTCTAAAGAGTGGAATCCAGGGGAGGGGTCCCAGATTCACAAGCCTAACCATTCTACTGTCCAAACTTCTCTTTTACTCTAATAAAGTCATCTGCACATCTGAAATCTCAATCTATCTTCTTAAAAGATAGATTCTCAAACCAATACCTCTGTTAATCAAATAAAATCTTACCTTTACTCCTGAAACAATTACTCCATCTGCTGATTTAACCATGTTCTTAAAGAAATCTTCAAGTTTCTCTTTCTTATTTTTTCCTCTCACACTCAGCTGAAAGAAAGGTAAACTTAAGTTGGCAATTTTTTAAGATTACAAGTTTGAAAAGTAATGCCTCTTTTATTCTCTGACATCAAAATGGCAAACTCAAAAGGATCCTGGTTTTTAAACTTTAATAAAGTGGCAATTTCATCATGTATATCAGTGACCTTCAAACTTTAGGGCATTAAAGAAGAGGCTGGCTTCACTCCCAAAGATTCAGATTCAGGTGATCTACAATAATGCCCGGATATCTCAAATTTTATATGTGATAATTCCATTGCAAGCAGCATTCTCATCATATAGTTTATATAAAGACAATTAAAATTTTATTATTTATTTTTAAAGATTTTATTTATCTATTCATGAGAGACACAGAATAGATAAATAGATAATAGTCCAGGCAGAGACACAGGCAGAGGGAGAAGCAGGTTCCCTGTGAGGAGCCCAATGCGAGACTTGATCCCAGGACCCCAGATCACGACCTGGGCCGAAGGCAGATGCTCAACCACTGAGCCACCCAGGTGCCTCCCGCCAGGAGTTCTTTTAAAGATGTAAAATTTACTGGAGTATAATACACCATCATATGATTCTGTAAAAGCTTTGAAAATATTTTTATTTTTATTTTTTTATTTTATTTTTTAAATTTTTATTTATTTATGATAGTCACACAGAGAGAAAGAGAGAGGCAGAGACACAGGCAGAGGGAGAAGCAGGCTCCATGCACCGGGAGCCCGACGTGGGATTTGATCCTGGGTCTCCAGGATCGCGCCCTGGGCCAAAGGCAGGCGCTAAACCGCTGCGCCACCCAGGGATCCCAAAGCTTTGAAAATAAATTCTGCAAGTTCTTCACTCTGAACTCATCCAAATATCGTGTCTTGTCCTGTTTTGGGGATCAGCAACTTATAGTATAAGAGACACAAAAGATGACTCTAAATGGCATGAATAGTTATCTAAGGCAAAAGTGAGAAGCAGCTAACTCTTGACTTTACCACTTGTTGCATCAGGGTGTCCCATAAAGGAACATCCCATCTAATTTCCAAATCTACTGCCATGGCTTCAATGTTCACCATTAGGTAAGTGATTCACAAATCATGATCACTGCCCCTAAACCCTTTCCTGAGCCTCAGATCCTATTTCCAATTGCCTATATATCATATCCTTTATATGAAGATTCTACTAAACTCACAACAGACTAAGACAGTATTCATTATAATCTTTTTTTTTTTTTTTTTAAGATTCTATTTATTTATTCATGAGAGACAGAGACAGAGAGAGAGAGAGAGAGAGGCAGAGAGAGAAGCAGGCTCCATGCAGGGAGCCCGATGTGGGACTCGAACCGGGACTCGATCCTGGATCTCCAGGATCACACCCTGGGCTGAAGGCAGCGCTAAACCACTGAGCCACCTGGGCTGCCCCTATTCATTATTATCTAATCTACAAATGTTTCCTTTTCTTGGTTCCCTATTCATGATCCCTTCATCTAACCAGTCTCTCAGAGTCCCACATATTCCCTAAAACCCCACACCTCTTATTAAAAATATTGAAATAGGGGAATCCCTGGGTGGCTCAGCAGTTTAGCGCCTGGCTTTGACCCAGGTGTGATCCTGGGGCCCCGGGATCAAGTCCCACATCAGGCTCCCTGCATGGAGCCTGCTTCTCCCTCTGCCTGTGTCTCTGCCTCTCTCTCTCCTCTGTCTTTCATGAATAAATAAATAAAATCTAAATAAATAAATAAATAAATAAATAAATAAATAAATAAATAAATAAATAAATTGGAATGACTTGACAGGATGAGCCCTGGGTGTTATACTATATGTTGGCAAACTGAATTTATTTATTTTTATTTTTATTTTTTTTTGGCAAACTGAATTTAAATTAAAAATTTTTTAAAAAAGAAAAGTCCTGAAATAATCTACAACTTCTTTTTGTCACTCACAGCTCAAATTCTACCATCCAATGCCTGAAATCTCTTTCTTTCCCACTGTCCTAGTAAAAAAATCTCATTATCTTCTGCCTAATTACTACACTGGACTACTAGTTAACATCTCTCATTTCCTCAATCTAAGCCATTTTGTTGATGATTTCCAAAATCAAATTTTGAGCATCTTCTTTATTCAATAACTTTACAGAGTTTCATAACATTCAGAGATTGAAAGCCTTAGCATGATATTCAAGACTTTCAACAATCTGGTTCAACTTACTTTTCCAACCACCACCCTACCCAACAGAACCTTATGTTCCAAATAGTTCTCAAAAGAAGCCCTGAGCTTTTAGGTTCCTCTGTACCTGAAATGGTATCAATGGTATCTCTCCTCCCACTAAAAATTCTATTCAAACATCATTAAACATCCAAATTAAAACACATCTCTTCACAAAACCCTTCCAAACTGCTTTATCTTTACGCCCCCCAATACACCTTGGGTGTTTTTTTAAACTGCACACAAAAATATATATATATTTATTCATTCATGAAAGACACACAGAGAGAGAGGCAGAGACACAGGCAGAGGGAGAAGCAGGCTTCACGCAGGGAGCCCGACCTGGGACTCGATTCCGGGACTCCAGGATCACGCCCCGGGCGGAAGGCAGGCGCTAAACCACTGAGCCACCCAGGGATTCCCTGCACTTTTAATATTAATTAAATCATTAATTCACTCGTTAAATGAACAATTGCCGAATGTATATTACATCATACACTGTGCTAGGTGTTCAGGATATAAAGATGACTATAAGGTGGTCCTTATTGCTTTTTTTTTTTTTTTTTTTAAGATTGATTTATTTGAGAAAGCAAGCACGAGTCGGGGAAGAGGCAGAAGGAGAGACAATCCCAAGTAGACTTCCCACTGAGCATGGAGCCCAATGTAGGGTTCAATTTCATGACCCTGAGACCAAGACTTGAGCCAAAGTCAAGATTTGGACATTCAACTGACTGAGCCAGCAGTGCCCGAAGGTGGTCCCTACTCTTAGAATAATTTATCTTTCAGAGGAGAGTATGGAGAAACATATGATTAAACATAGGGTGAGTAGTACAATGTTAGAGGAATCCATAGGACACGAGAACACCAAGGGAACTCAATACAAACTTAGGAGATGAGAAAGATAAGACTGGAGGTTGAATGAGCAGACAGGGGCTGTTTTCAATAATTCGGGCACCTAGGTGCCTCAGTCAGTTAAGCATCTGACTCTTGATTTTGGCTCAGGTCATGATCTCAGGGTCAGGAAATCAGCCCCATTTTGGGCTCTGCACTGAGTGTGGAAACTGCTTAATTAAGATTCTCTCTCTCTCTTGACTCTTTTAACTATAGGGAATAAACTGAGGGCTGCTGGAGGGGAGGTGGGTGGGAAAATGGGGTAACTGAGTGATGTGCATAAAGGAGGGCACCTGAACTAATAAGCACTGGGTGTTGTATGCAACTGATGAATCACTAAATCCCACCTCTGAAACTAATCGCAGAATATATGCTAATTAAATTGAATTTAAAATAAAAAAATAAAATTTTTTTTCTCTCTCCTCCCTCCGCCCCTCTGTGTGCACCTGCCGGTTCTCTCTCAAAACAAAGAACCGAAACCAAAAATACCTTTAAAATAATCCAGTCAATGATAAAAGTCAGAACTAATCTTTAGGTCTGATCATAGAAAGAAGTGGACACATTCCTAATATAGTAAGGGAGTATATCAGACAGGATTTGGGGTTTCCCTATTAGGAATAGGGACCAGGAAGAGCAATCAGTAATTTTTAGGGTTATTTGTTTTTTTAAAGATTTTATTTATTTGAGAGAGAGAAAGAGTAAACAGGTGGAGGAGCAGAGGGAGAACAACAAGCAGACTTGATGCTGAGCACAGAGCCTGACATGGGGATTCAATCCTACGACCCTGAGGTCACAACCTGAGCTGAAATCAACAGTCAAACATTTAGGGATCTCTGGGTGGTTCAGTGGTTTAGCGCCTGCCTTTGGCCCAGGACGCGATCCTGGAGTCCTGGGATAGAGTCCCATGTCAGGCTCCTGGCATGGAGCCTGCTTCTCCCTCCTCCTGTGTCTCTACCTCTCTCTCTCTCTCTGTGTCTATCATAAATAAAGAAATAAATCTAAAAAAAAAAAAAAAGGTCAAGCATTTCATCGACTGCACCACTCAGGCGCCTCACTATTGATTAATTGTTATATAATATTTGCAAAACACCTTGTCTTTTTAGAGTTTCTCCAAAACACCATATACTGATATTAAAAGGGTTTATAATGCACTGCACCATTATCTCTATTAAGCATATATTAGTTTGGGAGGAAGAAAAATAAATCTATGTTGATGGGAGAAAACTTATGAAACCTTAAGATTTCTGAAAGCTCTTTAGATAAAGCTCATCTAAACAATTAATAATCATTCACTTATCACCTTAACAAATACTCATTTGACATCTTAATTGTCAGCCACTATTCTAACGTACTAAGGATATAATGTTGAAGAATTAAAGTCTTCTTAGAGCTTCCGTTTTTGGGATAGGGAGACAAATAAATATATAAATTTTAAAAATAGAGATATATATGGAGTGCATGGGTGGTTCAGTTGGTTTAGTGCCTACCTCTTGATTTTGGCTCAGATCATGATCTCAGGGTCCTGGGACTGAGCCCTGAGACAAGATCTGCCCTCAGTGGGGAGTCTGGTTGAGGATTCTCTCCCTTTCCTTCTGCCCCTCCCCCCTGCTCACATCCACATCCACTTATGCTCTCTAAAATAAATAAATAAATCTTTAAAAAATATAGATCTTGGGATCCCTGGGTGGTGCAGCAGTTTGGCGCCTGCCTTTGGCCCAGGGTACGATCCTCGAGACCTGGGATCAAATCCCACATCAGGCTCCTGGTGCATGGAGCCTGCTTCTGCTTCTCCCTCTGCCTATGTCTCTGCTTCTCTGTCTCTCTGTAGGACTATCATAATAAAATAAAAAAAGAAAGAAAGAAAATTAAAAAAATAGATAAAAAATATAGATCTAGAATTTCATATAGCACTAAGGGATTTGTCAATGGGATAAAATATGTGGAACATGAAACTCCTCAAGCACATATAGCCTTGAAATGATAATACCATGCCTCCCTGTATACCAACATGGCTCTACCAATTATTATTATTATTTTTAAAGATTTATTTATTTATTCATGAGAGACACAGAGAGAGAGGGAGAGACAGAGACACAGGCAGAAGGAGAAGCAGGCTTCATGCAGGGAGCCCGACATGGGACTCGATCCCCGGTCTACAGGATCAGGATCAGGCTCTGGGCTGAAGGCGGCACTAAACCGCTGAGCCACCAGGGCTGCCCCTCTACCAATTATTATTATTATTATTACTATTACTTTAAAGATTTATTTATTTATTTATGAATGAATGAATGAATGAATGAATGATAGACACACAGAGAGAGGCAGAGACACAGGAGGAGGGAGAAGCAGGCTCCACGCTGGGAGCCCGACGTGGGACTCGATCCTGGGACTCCAGGATTGCGCCCTGGGCCAAAGGCAGGCGCCAAACCACTGAGTCACCCAGGGATCCCCTCTACCAATTATTATTAAGGTCCTGACCAAGACCACAAATAAGGTTGAGCAAAAATAAACACATAAAGGTAAAAAACTGATGAGCGCATTCTGTACCATGTGTTTTTTGGCAACCCTACTCATGATTTTTAGCTTCTTCTTTTTTTAAGCTTCTTATAATTCATGATATAGCCAGCATTCTTTCTAATTCCTAGTTACAAATGATCATGGGCCAGTATCACATACCACATTATGCTCGTGAAAGTACCCATGCTTAAGTGCTATGTTTCTGTGATCTTGAGTTACTTCATACCCTTCAAAAAAATATGTTCTACTGCTAGACTTAGGACATTCTATTGTCATTGTCCTGTCTATTAAGACCAAACCAGAAGAGCAAATTTATATATTCTTTGATCTTAATGTTGACTTGTAAGCAAACTAGCACTATGACACATCTGTTTTTTGCTAAAATCATGAGTTAATCTTGTCATTCAAATATAAATCCCAAGATCTGTATGACCCACCTTTAAAAATTTTTTTGCCAGTACTATGAATGAAGAAACCTTAAAAGCTCAATAGCATCAATATTTCTATTTCCACTATAACAAAGTTTTCAGGCAGGGCTGGAAGGGAGATTAGGAGCAATCCCACTGAAGGAAGTCAGTTTTATTTTGTTTTGAATAAAGATTGTATTTATTTATTCATGAGAGACACACACACAGAGGCAGAGACACAGACAGAGGGAGAAGCAGGCTCCTCAATGGACTCCTCAGGGAGTCCAATGCGGGACTCAATCCCAGGATCAGATCATGCTCTAAGCTAAAGGCGGATGCTCAACCACTGAGCTACTCAGGCATCACAGGAGGTCAGTTAAACAGATCAAAAGTCAATGATTAACCCAAAAATAATCCGGAATTTGGGCAGCCCAGGTGGTTCAGTGGTTTAGTGTTGCCTTCAGCCCAGGGTGTGATCCTGAAGACCCAGGATCAAGTCCCGTGTTGGGCTCCCTGCATGGAGCTTGCTTCTCCCTCTGCCTGTGTCTCTGCCTCTCTCTCTCTCTCTCTCTCTGTGTCTCTCATGAATAAATAAATAAATAATCTTAAAAAGAAAAAAAAAGATAATCTGGAATTCTTTAGCTCAAATACCTCCCCCTGGGATTTCCCATAAGGCTTCAGAGGACTTCAAAACTCAAATTTAAGAAAACAATCAAGTTGATAACCCTATTTCTTAAGAAGTTCACAATTCAGCATGAAAACCAATGTCCCATGGTAGTGACATGATTTACTCTCATTTCTTCAATGAATCTACTCAAGTTCTATTGAAATACTGTATTACCATTACAAAAGTGTCATTTTAAACTGCCTTGAAAACTAAGAACATTAGAAAAAGGGTCATCTAGCTATTCCCTGCCTTTTCTAATAATTCTAAAAATAAACCTTGATCACTACTTTAATTAATACTCACATCTTGATTATATTCCAAGAAGACGTGGAAATTTAAATCTTTTCTCAAAATAGGATGTGCTGCCACACGACATAGGAACACTTCATGCATTGCAACAGTCTTCTTGAATATTGCCAAATATTCACTAGAAACAATACACAAAATTACAGGTAAAACACTGCACCAACTAGAAAATCATCTGTAACAATTTTTTTTCAACAGATGCTCTGAATTATTCTAAATGCAAAATTAAAGATACAAAGATATAATCCATGTAAACAAAGATTTTATTTGAACTGTTAATAAAATATGTAAAACCCAGCTCTGAAAAGGCTTCATGCTAGTTAATAGTATTTATTATACTTAAATGTTAATATTTTTAGGTTTTATGAACCTTTCTTTTTATGCAAGTTGATGTTAAAGGTGACTACTGGGGTGTTTGTTTTCAGCTCCAGAGAAAGTACACTAAAAATTATTTGATACAATCTTTGTAACTCAATTTCTAAATAATTACAGCATTTAAACACCTTTATATAAAAAAAATTAAAACTCAAACCTCAGTAAACATATTTTCAACATTAATAATTATTTTTATCTAATGACCCCAAACACACAAGAAAAAAGCATACCACAGAGAGACTAATTTTTGTCATTACATTGAAAAACTGTGTTTAAAATATTTTAATATCAGTGAATCACAGCGATCATATTGTAATAGATGTCAGTTTGAAAAAAGAATCACTCAAGGAAAAGGCCCAATATTCTTGCTTCAACTACGTGCAAGGAGGATAAATTTTACATACCAGCAAACCAGCAGGACCAATGTTGGGAGAAGTTTGATCTCTGTGAGGGTAGTCATTCAGTGAAGACAAAAAAGAAGGATGCAGAGGATGGAGGTAGCAGTAGAATAAACCCAAGGTTCTCTGTTATCCAACCCCTAACCAGACCACAAAAGAATCATGATCAGGGCCACTGGAAAACCACAGATTCTTTAATATTAATGTGCTCTGCTAATTTCCAGTTTTCAGTCTTATAACTATAAAAAGTATATATCTCTACTCTCAGACTACTGCTTGCACCCAGCATGGATAAAAATCTTAAAGTATCTGTCACCTTACACTTTTGACAAAAAATATCTACTTTGCTAATTTATCTTGTCAAATGAGCTATTAGCATTCTGAAGAGGAGTCTAGTAGCCGTGTGGATATACGCTTAAAAGCTGAAACTAAGTTGAAGAGGAGAAAAAGAAATGCAAGAAGAGGAGAAATGACCACGGAAAGAATGATGGAGGTGACAATGATGCAAGGGAAGTATTTCCTTGTATAGCTCCCAAAATATAGAAAAACAATACACCGCAATTCTAAAATTACTTCAAATGTCTAATAAAAGGGGGAAGATTTGGTATTTTTAGCAAGTATGCTAAAAATAAAATAGAAATTATCTCAAATTTTTTCAAGGACTTAATACATTTCTAGTATATGTGAAACTACTAATTATTTAATGAAAAACATTTTAAAACTATTTTCATTACTTTGTTCCTATTCTTTTCCCTTCAGCCAGAAGCCAGAGGCAGAAAAAAAGGGCAAAAACAAACACACATCTAAACACACGTATTTAAGGAAAAAAAAAAAAAAAGAAAATATATGCAGAGTTGATCAGTGTATATTTCTATGAGAAACCGCAGTTTCAGTAGTATGCACACACCGAAAAAAAGAAAATCAGGCTGGCAGTGACTAAGACCTTGTAAATAAAAAACAAAACAACTTACATTCTGCTTTAAAAAGTCATATTTTCCTTTCTACTATTTGTAAATAAAGTTTTGGATCCTCTGCTTTCAATTTTCAAAGTCCATTTAAAACATTAATTTAAAGAATTTTACAATGCAAACAATTATTCTATAATTTTCCTGTAGGCTCTGATCATGATCATTAAAACTGGTTGTTTGGTAAACCTGCATCTTTCAGAAAGGGTCACTGTGGTGAAATGATTAAAAGGATGGGATATCAGAGTGCACAGAAAAAAGGCATTAAAACAAGCACAATTAACAAAAACAACAACAAAAATCACATACGCTTCCAGTTCCTGTTTCATCTTTGTGAATTCTTCCTTTGTCATGGACCCTTCTCCTTCTCCAAGCTTCTGTAGTTTTTCCCTTGAAGCATCAAAATCGGGTCTTGGTGGTGCTGGTGGGATCTGTTTAAGAGAATCAAGTCACTAATTTTAAAGACTATTTTTTTTTCACAGCAGTTTTACTACTCCATAAAAGATTGTATCTGGGAAAGCTAAGGACATCCTGAATGAGCATGACACCAGGAATATCAGATTAGAGAATCTGATTAGCTCCTTTGCATCAAGGAAGACATAAATACAACAGAGCACCATTTTCTAGTATTAGAACACTAGTCCCAAACTTTAACCTGCAGATTCGGATGGGACAACTTGAGAGTCCTCAAACGTACATACACATTAAGCTCTGACTATACATTAAAAGATGTATACCATTTTTCAGAAGTATGTAAATGGTTTGGTTAAATACAAATATATATCTTTTTAATTAAGGAATTAATAGTAGCTTTATGCTATACTATCTTTTTAAAATTTACAAATGCCAATAGTATGATCCATCAAGGAATGTTAAAAAGGGTTCCTGAATCGGAGGGGTTTATCAGAAGCATAAAGCACTGACTTAAAACCAGGAGAATAAGACAGGGATTAATGACTAACATCATTCTACTTACTCACAGTAGGTAAGTAAACACTTACCTTAAATAAAAATGTAAAATCTAGAAGAGTCATATCATTCAAGGGAAGGATAAAGAAAAAGTTTATCTTAAGGAGGGTCTACAAGTAACAACCGTTAAGGAGAAATGATGGGAAATAAAGAAAGCAAGGAGATGAAAGGAAGAAAAGATAGGAGAAAGTTAAAGAATGAATACAAGAAAAGGGTTACGCTTGAGGAAAGCAATAGGAAGGGAGCAGCACACACAGCTGAGCACACATTCATTGATGCTTGTACACCACATCTACTATGTGCTAGGAATGATGCTGAACAATGCGTATATAAAGATAAGTAAGACATGGTCTTGATCTTTGAGTGTTTAGTCTATAAGAGGACATGGTAGTAAGAAAATACCATTAGACAACTTGAAGAAAAAAAAGAAAGAAAAAAAGGGAAAAAAAAGAGAAAAAAAAAGAAGAAAAAAGAAGAGAGAGAGAAAAAAAAAAAGATAAGATGAAGAAGAAAAGGTGGAAATAAGATGGGAAGAGAAGGAGCTTCCAGGTTGGTGAACACACTGACATGCTGGGAAGGTAGCAGGTGGTACACCTGGACAGGGCATGAAAGTTCTGCACCAACCCCATCTCCCCCTCTGTACCCTGTCCTATGTATACTTCTTCCTTTTGGCTGTTCCTGAGTTGATCCTTCATATAAACTGGTATTTTTTTAAATATATATATATTTTTTTAATTTTTTATTTATTTATGATAGTCACACAGAGAGAGAGAGAGAGAGAGAGGCAGAGACACAGGGAGAGGGAGAAGCAGGCTCCATGCACCGGGAGCCCGACGTGGGATTCGATCCCGGGTCTCCAGGATCGCGCCCTGGGCCAAAGGCAGGCGCCAAACCGCTGCGCCACCCAGGGATCCCTAAACTGGTATTTTTTTTAAAGGAAAAGAAAAAAAGAAAGAAAAAAAAAGAATGTACTGCCAGTTGTCCACCAAATTCTGAGTTATACAAAGAAAAAGCAAATGACAGGAGTGGCCACAGGAGGGAGATAGAATCATCAGGATGATTTCAAGGAGATCAAAGGAAACTAAATTTCAGCAATCTGAGTGTGGTCAACAGCTGAGGTGCAACATCTGATGCATACTTGGATAACATCTCTTTTTTAAGATTTTATTTATTTGAGAGACAGAGAGAGAGAGCACATGAGCATGCACACAAGCAGGGAGATGGACGGAGGGAGAGATAAGTTGACTCCCTTCTGAGCAGAGCGCCTTACTTGAGGCTGGATCCCAGGACTCTGGGATCATGACCTGAGCCAAAGGCAGACACTTAACCAGCTGAGCCATCCAAGTGCCCCAGATAAGATAATATTTTTTTTTCAAGGTTTTATTTATTTATTCATGATAGACACAGAAAGAGAAGTAGAGACATAGGCAGAAGGAGAAGCAGGCTCCTCGTAAGGAGCCTGATGCAGGACTGAATCCCCAGACCAGGATCACGCCTTGAGCTGAAGGCAGACGCTCAATCACTGAGCCATCCAGATTCAATAAGTTCTTAAGGAACCCTCCAACTCTGAGTATGTCTACCTAAGGGTTCAAAACCAGAATGGTTTATAACATTCCCTTAATTAATCTCTAGTTTGAAAAGCCCATTTCAATTCCAATAAAGAGTGAGAATTTAAGTTAATTAATTAATTTATTTATTCATGAGAGACAGAGAGAGAGAGAGAGGGAGAGAGAGGCAGAGACACAGGCAGAGGGAGAAGCAGGCCCCTTGCAGGGAGCCCGATGTGGGACTCGATCTCGGGACTCCAGCATCCTGCCCTGGGCCAAAGGCAGGCACTAAACCGCCGAGCCACAAAGGCGTCCCGAGAATTTAAGTTTAAATGAAGGAGTATAATATATCCATATCTCTACACTCTCAAACTAGGCAATTCAGGATAAGAAGTGGTAGTCAATTGTGTTTTTCTGACAATTTAAAAAAATCACACCAGCTCACTAAAATACTAAGTAAGATTTAACATAAAGTATCTAAAAAGCTTCTAGAAAATGGGATTAAAATGGAACCCCAACACTTACAATGTAACCCGCGTAGTCTTCATTTTCAACGAAGGAATCATGAAGCCAAATGAATTCCTCATGTTGTCGAACAACAGAAAACTCATTTTGTTTAAAATTTGGCAATGAACTCTGTAAAGACAGAGATGCTCTTTAATAAAAATAAAAATTACATTAAAAGGGCTCTAATAAACATTTTAAATCTTATTTTCTTAAATTAGTCTTACAAGAATGATTATTAGTACTTTAAAACTCTATTATGAAAACTCTGAGACACCTCAACAAAATTATCCTGGGATCTTTAAGAAAGTAAGCTGACAGTCTCTTATGTTGTACTGCTACCATTACTTATTAAGTTATCTTATTATTAATATATATTGTTTTTCACTTTTTCAATTATTAATATATATTAAACTCAAGTACTCAAAGGAAAATAAATCTACGATCTGAAAATGTGCCGGAGAAGTGAGATCCAATAAGAAAATAATTTGTGAGACAGTTTTATTTATTTATTTTTAAAGACGTTATTTATTTATTTTGGTGGGGGGAGTGTGGTTGGGGGAGGGGGGCAAGCTGAGATCATGACCTAAGCTGAAATCAAGAGTGGGAGGCTTATCCAACTGAGACACCCAGGTGCCCCATAAGACAGTAATATAATTAACTGAAAGAACAAAACAAAACTGAAAACAAAAATAGTGAAAGATGTTACTAAATATCTAGAGAAAATTAAATTTGCATTATATCTAGGTTCTGTGATTAATTCTTAAATGTTAACCTTTAAAAAGTACATTTTTAAAAAACTGTTCAAATACAGTGAAATTATAAACTAAAATACCCTAATTTTGTTCAAAACCAAAGTTCCAGTTAATATATCATATGTAACATTAGCACAATAAATAGCTAAAATAATACAAGTACAAAATCACATTTACCTTTGTGTGAACAGTGAATTTTACTTTATCTCTCTCACTAAGAGCATCAGAAATGTCCACTTGCAGAGCAGCATCACTTTGAAGATCTACATTTATTGCTTTAAGCTAGAAAAAGATAATGAAAATTCTGTGGGCTTATACAGAATTTCATTCTTTTCTCAGATATTAAGACAATGCAAAAACAACAAAAATAAAAGAATCTTGAATCTAAAAAAGTACTCAAGTTCATTTAAACCTCATATATTTAGAGAGTCAGGGGCTTTGGGTAGGTTATTACTTTAATCAATTTTCATTCTATACCATTCAATTATGCTTTGTATGAGCCAATGGGCTAACCACGATTCATTATAATTTCACTCAAAAAGTAAACTATTTTTTCTCTCTCCTATTCTCTGCCATCATGGTGTGTGTGGTTGACCGATCCTCACCACAGACAACAACAGGGAAGCCTGGAAGGCACCCTAACCTAGGGGCTTGGATGATGTTGGTTTGAATCCCATCTCTGCACATTAATATTCTGATTTGGGTCTTCTCACAAAACCTATCAAGTAATTCCTGGCCAAGAAACAAAAGCAGAATCGTTTCATTCACCAGTGGATTCAGATGAAACTGGTAACAAAATCAGGTACAACCTCAAGGGGAGGTATTGGTACTGGAATTGGGAGAACCAAGCTGGTCTACATGAAATAGCACATGATATGGCACACATATTTATGCTGCATGTAGGTCACATATTCCTATCCTATCACTCCTAACATCACTACTACCTGAGCAATAGACATGTTTTATCAGGGAAATTCTTCTTTTCTGTTACTAGGTTTCTGTGGCAGTTGGTTGGTTCAGTAATAAATATGTAAGACCTTTTGTTTGAAAAAATACATGTAATAAATTTCCAAGAAGATGGTCCTTTAAAGTTCAAGTGTTCTAAAATTAAGTATTTATCTTTTAGAACAAGAAAAATAATGAAAAGAATACTGGCTAATAGTTTTAACTCTACTGATTATTTTAATAAACAATGAAACTATTAAGATAGTTAAATATATTACATATATGTAAAGTGCTAAGAAAAAAAATAGTAAATACCCAATAACTATCACCTGTGATATGAATTAAATCTCCCATTTTACTCTCCAAGCTTTAATACATTCAAAGAATTAAATACATTCTCTATTTAGTGCTTTACTTATCTATGAGAAGATTTCTCTACTTATCCTTATTTATTAAAAAGATTTTTTTTTTTTATTCAAGAAAGACAGAGAGAGAGAGAGAGAGAGAGAGAGAGAGAGAGAGAGAGAGGCAGAGACACAGGCAGAGGAAGAAGTAGGCTCGATGAGGGAGCCTGATGTGGGATCTGACCCCGGGACTCCAGGATCATGCCCTGGGCCAAAGGCAGGTGTTAAACTGCTGAGCCACCCAGGGATCCCATAATCCTTTTTTTAAAAAAGTAAACTCTATACTCAATGTCAGGCTCAAACTCACAATCCCACCCCGAGATCAAGAGTTCCATGTTCCACTGTCTGAGCCAGCCAGATGCCCTCTACTCATAAGGCTTACTATTAATTCTGGGCAGCCCGGTGGCTCAGCGGTTTAGCGTCACCTTCAGCCGAGGGCCTAATCCTGGAGACCTGGGATTGAATCCCACGTTGGGCTCCCTGCATGGAGCTTGCTTCTCCATCTGCCTGTGTCTCTGCCTCTCTGTGTCTCTAATAAATAAAATATTTAAAAAAAAAGGCTTACTATTAATTCTATTTATAATTCTTAAATTTTCTATTTTTCTTCCTCGTTAGACAAATACACACTCTAAAATATTTGACTAATTTGAAGACTTATTAAAAAATCGAAATACACTAACAAATGAAAATAAAGTCTTAGCCTGCTGCAAAGAAATATTTAGCCTTGTTTATTAACTACCTAGCTTTCTTCAAAAAAATAAATCTTTAAAAAATGAAAAAATAAAAATGTATATATAAAAGGCTTAAAGAAAATACAACAAAGTGTGGATTTTCTTCTTTATATATTCCTTTATTCTCCCAATTGTCCACAAAATGCATACATTACTTTTATAAATGGGGGGGGGGAGGGAAGCCTTTATACAGAAATCCTGTAATCTATTAAAATCTTATGAAACTTCATTAAATAGAGTTGTTTAACTTTCATTAGTAATGAAAAAAATTAACAGTATTTCACTTTTGCACTACTGGTTCTGAGAAGATATGTTTGTTCGTTCATTCATTCATTCATTCATTCATTCATTTATTTATGATAGTCACAGAGAGAGAGAGAGAGAGAGAGAGAGAGAGGCAGAGACACAGGCAGAGGGAGAAGCAGGCTCCATGCACCGGGAGCCCGATGTGGGATTCGATCCCAGGTCTCCAGGATCGCGCCCTGGGCCAAAGGCAGGCGCCAAACCGCTGCGCCACCCAGGGATCCCAAAGATATGTTTTTAAAAGATAAAAACCATTACATATATTACTTAAGATTCACAGAAAAAAAATTAATCACTGTTTAAATTATGTGGTACTTTGATGACCCTTAGTAAAAATTTTATAGGTAACTTAAGTTTACATTAAGTTATATTTCATCAGTAATCCTATTTTTAAAAGTTTATACTATAAACTTAATAAAACATTTTAAAATGTTAAAATATCTGTTACTGTACTCAGTTTTACACATAGCCTACTGTCTGATAAATGAAATTAAAAGTTGCCTTGAATTACGAAGTTTCCTTTTTCATTTTCCAACTATCTCATTGCCTCTGCAATACTGAAAATATTAGTCTTTTGGTTTTCTTCCATTGACTTAGTCTTACAGGCCTTCATATGGTCTAGCCTACCTCTTCTCCAACCCCTTACCTTAATTCTATTTTAAGAAATGTTTCCTTTTGGAGGACCCAGGTAGCTCAGTCGGCAAAGTGTCTGACTTCAGGTCATGATCTCAGGGTCCTGGGGGCTCCCGTCTCAGGTTCTGTGCTCAGCAAGGAGTCTTCTTCTCCCTCCCCCACTCCCTAACTCATGCTCTCTCTCTCTCTCTCTCTCTCAAATAAATAAAATCTTAAAAAAAAATCTTTCTTTTTTCCTCTTTACTCACAATCACAGGCCACTTTTAAGATGTTTACTGTGGTAGACTGAATAATGGCTCCCCCAAAATATCCACATCCTTGGATTTGTGGACATTATCCTATATGGGAAAAAAAGGGCTCTGCAGGTGTGATTAGAGATGGGGAAATTATCCTGATTATCTAAATAGGCCTTAAATGCAGCTACATGTATCCTTATAAGAGGGAAGTGCCGGGAGATTAGACAGACAAAAAAGGAGATAACAGGACCATGGATGCAGAGATTAGAGTGACACAGCCACAAACCAAGGACTGCTGGCAGCCACCAGAAGCTAGAGGAGAAATTCTTCCCTAGAATCTCAGGGAGTGTGGTCCTGCTAATACCCTGATTTCAGCTCAAAGATACTGATTTTGGACTTTTGGACTACAGAAGTACAAGAGAATAAATTTCTATTGTATTGTCATTAAATTTGTGGTAATTTGTTACAGCAGCCACACGAAACGAATAAACTTATCATTATGATTTTGGAACAATAACCTTGGCTTTTCTCCATTTCCTATGTTTTCATTGCCTACTTAAGCATTTCCCAAATGCAACTGGTAAGAATCAACCTAGGTGCTTGTTAAAAATACAGAACCCCAGTCCCTAACACAGACTTATCAAAACAATCTTCAGAGACTCTTAACTAGAGAAAATAAATGGAGGGTTGTTTGAGGGGAGGTGGTAGGGCGATGGGATAACTGGGTGATGGGCACTAAGAAGGACACCTGATGTAATGAGCACTGGGTGTTATACGCAACTGATGAATAACTGAACTCCACCCCTGAAACTAATCATTTACTTAATTATTGAATTTAAATAAATTTTTTTTAATCTTTGGGGAATAAGCCTTAAAAACTGTGTTTGGGAACCCTAGCCTAGATTTTCAGGGTTGTCTTTGCATTTACATTGTCAAAATTTCATCTCAATTGCTAATCTTTTTAATGATTACATAAAACATTGTTGCTGGATTTTTTTAAAAAAGATTTTTATTTATTCATGAAAGACACAGAAAGAGAGAGAGAGAAACAGGTAGAGGGAGAAGCAAGCTCCATGCAGGGAGCCTGATGTGGGACTCGATCCCAGGACTCCAGGAGCATGCCCTGAGCCGAAGGCAAGGCATGTTAAACCACTGAGCCACCCAGGCATCCCTGTTGCTGGATTTCCTATGTATATATACATTTTCATTTTCAGACTTAATTTTACTTTAGCTGTTGTGTTATCAATGTGGTAACATACTTCTCAGGTTTCTACATTTAAGTAACTTATTTATATTCCAATTTAAGATTATTCCAAATTATTTTTTCTTGTATTTCCTTATCCCTATATATCAAACACTCCCCCCTTTTCTGATAGTACAACACTTGGCTTTTTAAAATTGTAACTTTTATTGATAACAAACATTCCTATATTATATATTTACTGCTTTTTTTTTTAGTATACCTTACATACAATGAAATGCAGATTTTAAGTATATAGTTTGAAGAGTTTTGACAAATACACAGGTTACACCCTTGTGATCATGACCACAATAGTTCCCTCTTTTATTCTCTCATTTCTACTTCTTTACTTTCTAACTCTTCTGTAAATTCTTTTGCATGCATTATTAAAGCTTGTAGCCATTCATATATTGCCTCAATGGCCATTAATTCAATCATTTGTCTTTTTCATTCTTTTAGTAACTATGTTCTAGAACTGGTATCGGGAAAAGTGCATGAATCATAAATGTGGTCACAGCAAAATGATGGTGGTGAGATTGTGACTCCTCTAATTTAAATTTCATAGTAAATTCAAAATATCAGCTGAAGTGTTCATTCTGATATTACATCTTTCTAGTCAGTTCCGGTGTACACTTCATACCTCAATTTTTTTTTCCCATTTCCTGAGATTACAGAGAAAAGGAGACATAAAGGAATTACTTTGTTTGACAAGAAGATGTGCTTCACACACATTACGGTTTTTTTTTTTTTAAAGTCCTGTTTCTAATAACTAAGATGTGTAATGGAAAAG